TATCCGCTGGTCATGTCCCTGCAGGTGCCCCCGTTCATGCAGGGGTTCGACTCGCACTCGTTGTTGTTGACGTCGCAGTTCTGGCCGCTCCAGCCCGAGTCGCAGCTGCATTTGTAGCTAAAGGTGGGGGGAGAAGGGCAAAAAGAGGGGTTGGCAACCTGTTTTAACTAGAGATGTACGGTAACGAAGTAGAACTACTCAAGTACTGTACTTAAGTACCAAAATACAGTATCTGTTCTTTATTGGAGTATCTATTTTTTGCCCTTTTTTTAATTTTACTCCACTAGATAATTTTGATTAATTCAATACTTTTACTCGGGCTGAAGGCTGAATCGTTACTCGTTACTGATATGTAAACATTATGAATCATCCCCAAGTCTCTGTCCCAGTTTGGGAAGCTGGCTCCTCATTGGGCGATTTGAGCAATCAAGCATAGCCTATAAGAAAAAGCCTCCTGAAAGATGGCAAAATCATGGCCTTCAAAAGTTCCCCATCTAATCTGAAGAAGCATATCAAGGTAAATTAAGAAATACAATGATATATAAGCTAGTAAATAAGCGCTAGTTCAGTTCTCCCTGTTCACTCAGGACGTAGCAGCTAACATTAGCTAAAGCTAACCTAGCTGGCTAGCTGTGTGCTACATGCTAGCATAAATGCTCAGCTCATGATTCTGACACTGGAATAATAAACAATAGTAGATGAAGTTGATGTTGATTGCTAATACAGATGTAGTTTTTTGTTTTTTGTAAACACCTGTATGGCCTTTCACACGTTTGAAATAATATAAACAATATCTATCCAACTTTTGACTGCCTTTTTTAATATACACAGTACTTGTACTTTTACTTTCGATACTTGAGTAGCAATTTTTGAAATACTTCCACTTGCAATACCTAAATACAAAAAAAATGGAGTGCTTCCGTACTTCCACTTAAGTATGGAGTTGAAAGAACACTTCTACTTTTACTCAAGTCAATTTTTTTTATATAGTACTTGTACTTCTACTCCACTCCTCTACTCCAGTACTTTATCCATCTCTGGTTTTAGCTCACCTGTTGACGAGGTCCTGGCAGCGGCCGTGGATGCAGGGGTTGCTGCCGCACTCGTCCACCTGCGACCTGCAGGTGGCGTCGTTGTATCCCTCGGGGCAGACGCAGCTGAATGTGCCCACCCCGTCCACACAGGTTCCCCCGTTCTGGCACGGCCTGGAGGCGCAGTCGTCGATGTTGATGTTGCACATCGCGCCTGTGGGGGGGAAAACCAGGACGGGTTCAGGGGGAGCAAAAGACATCCATCCATCCATTATCCTAATAGGTTCTTGCCTAATGGGGTCATGTGGGGACTCGAGTCTATCCCAGTAGCCAATGGGATAGGCTAGCACTGGGGTCTGGAGAAGGTGTGTGTGGGGGGGGGGGTTTAGCTAGCTGGTCGCTAGCTGGTCTCGTCACTTCCTGTTTTATTTTGGTAAGTAACCCTCATATCGTTTCAGGTTTCTTGTATCATCTGATCACCTATTCTGTTAGGTTATTAGCTTATTGCCTAATGGGCTCATGTGGGGACTCAAGTCTATCCCAGTAGCCAATGGGATAGGCTAACACTGGGGTCTGGAGGAGGCAGGGGGGGGGTTAGCTAGCTGGTAGCTAGCTGGTCTCGTCACTTCCTGTTTTATTTTGATAAGTAACCCTCATATCGTTTCAGGTCTCTTGTATCATCTAATCACCTATTCTGTTAGGTTATTAGCTTATTGCCTAATCGGGTCATGTGGGGACTGGAGTCTATCCCAGTAGCCAATGGGATAGGCTAGCACTGGGGTCTGGAGGAGGCAGGGGGGGGGGTTAGCTAGCTGGTCGCTAGCTGGTCTCGTCACTTCCTGTTTTATTTTGGTAAGTAACCGTCATCTTGTTTCAGGTCTCTTTCACTTCCTGGTGTGTCTTCCTGATCACCTATTGTGTTCACCTGGGGTTCCCTTTCCCATCCATATTTCCATTATCCCAACCTCTTATTCCCTAATTGGGTCGCTATCCCAGTAGCCAATGGGGAGAGGCGGGTTCACCCTGGACGGTCCCCAGTCCATCACAGGGACACACAGAGACACACAAGGACCAACAACCACACACACTCACACTAAGGGCAGTTTGGAGTCCAACAACCTAACATGCAGGTTTTTGGACGGTGGGAGGAAGCCGGAGAACCCGGAGAGAACCCACAGACACAGGAGAACATGCAGAACCACCCAGAAAGGTCCTGGTTCCCCCGGGACTCCAACCCAGAACCCTCTGGTCCTGGTTCCCCCGGGGACTCCAACCCAGAACCAGGTACTCCAACCCAGAACCAGGGACTCCAACCCAGAACAAGAAACTCCAACCCACAACCCGGGACTCCAACCCAGAACCTGGGACTCCAACCCAGAACCTGGGACTCCAACAATAAACCTGGGAGTCGAACCCAGAACCCTCCACCTAGAAAGGTCCTGGTTTCCCCGGGGACTCGAACCCAGAATAGCGGCAGACATTCCCCTTTTTTTTCCATAAGGGTGGGGGCTGTACAAGTCGCTACTCTAGCCATTATGGCGGCCAAACAGCTGCTCTCCGCAGAGGTTTGTTCCTTTCTTTCCCGAAGCCTTTATGATCTGCTCGCTGGCCCCCAGGGGCCCCTTTTGCCTCGGCGGCCATTGATTCAACAGGGCCGGGGCTGAATAGGCAGGGGAAGGGTTTCAGCTGGATTTGAAAGAGGGGAGGGGCTGCCAACAGGAGGAGGAGGAGGAGGAGGAAGAGGAGGAGGAGGTCCACTCTCCCTGTTCACACAACACCCCCCCTACCCCCCACCCCCTCCCTCCACCCCCCCACCAGGGCTGTTTACGGGGACAGAAGGCCAGACCCATTTCACACACGGCTGAGTAACAATCAAACCCCCCTGTGATCTCCCTCCTCATCAGTCAGGAGAGGAGCTCCAACTGCCTGATCCTCGCTGACAATAGTCCTCTGTCCTGCTGTTCCCTCCACATTAACAAAAAGAGGGGGGGGGGGGGGGGGGGGGGGGGGGAAGGAGGGGAAGGGGGGGGAGGCACGCACAGCAGCCTGCACACACACTTGTTCCCTCATTCCCGACTCCTTTGTGGAACAACCTCCCCGACAGCTACCGGTCAGAGCGGGTTCAGGCCCCATGAGAGGTTTGGGGAGCTGGCTCCTCATTGGCCGATTTGAGCCATCATTTTATAGGCATAGCCTATTAAAAAAAAAGCCTCCCGAAAGATTGCGAAATCACGGCCTTCAAAAATTCCCCATCTAATCTGAAGAAGCATATCAGGGTAAATAAAAACTACAATGACATATAAGCTAGTAAAAAAGCGCTAGTTCAGTTGTCCCTGTTCACTCAGGACGTAGCAGCTAACGTTAGCTAAAGCTAACCTACCTAACTACCTGTAAGTTTAAAAAAATACAATGATATATGAGCTTGTAAGTAAGCACTAGTTCAGTTCTCCCTGTTCACTCAGGACGTAGCAACTAACGTTAGCTAAAGCTAACCTACCTAACTACCTGTAAGTTTAAAAAAATACAATGATATATAAGCTAGTAAATAAGCGTTAGCTCAGTTCTCCTTGTTCACTCAGGACGTAGCAGCTAACGTTAGCTAAA